GGATGCAATGTTAGGGCTGTGGAGGAATGTGAAGGTTTGAGTATTTCTTAAGCATTAAACTTCAGCAACTAAATCCCTTTAGGGGTCTTTGCTGTAATAATTACTACCTTTTCCATTGCATTCAAATACTGTTGAGTATTTAATTTGTTCACAAACATTTATTTCTGGAATAGTATTAGGTGAAGTGATTGTCATCATCTGCATTTTAGAGCTGTGATGCAAAAACAAAGTATGTGCTATTTTGCAGTGCCTGACACAAAATTACTAGTTTTTTTTCTCTTTTTTTGCTGTATGTTGCATGGCATATGCTTAATTTTCAACCTTGGAGCCATTTAGAGGGGTCAGCAAGCATATAGATAAGGGTCATCTGATTGATACAGGCTGGTTAGGTTTCCAAAAGGCTTTTGACCATGTCCCTCTACAAAAGCTTGTAGTGAAGCTAAGCTGCCATTCTATGAGAAGAAAGATACTTCCATAGATAGATAATTGTTTAAGAGGAAAAAGAGAAGGTAGGAATAGATTGTCAGTATGCCCAGAAGTAGTCACCAAGGCATCCTAGAGAGATTTGTGCCTTTCAACATGTTCATAAGGGACTAGAGTGGGGGCCGGAGAACAGTACGAAGACAAAAATTTGTAGGTGAAAGCTACTTTGGAATAGCAAGGACAATATGTGATAGTGAGGACCTGTAGAAGGACCATCACAATATTACCAGCTGCGAATGACTGGGCAATAAAATGGCAGGCACATTTTAGTGTAGATAAAGAGATATAAAATAATGCACACTGCATAAAATCCTAATTTCACACACAGAATGATGGACTCGGAGCTTGCCATTGGTACTCTGCAGCAAGGTTGTGGGGTTCATAAAAATCTCAGCTTAGAGCCCAGTGATGGTCAAAAAAAAGCAAATGAAGTGTTAAGAATGGTTAAGGAAGTTCAGTATAAATTAGATAATGATATTATGCTGTTGTATAACTTATGAGTCACCCATGTCTTGATTACTGTGTGCCAGCTCTGCTCTTGTTATCCTCAAAGAATATAGCACAGTTAGAAAGAGCTTTAGAGAAGGGTGAGAAGGATAATCAAAGAAAAGGGAACGGTTTCTATAAGAGATTGACTGAATAATCTGGGACTCTTCAAATTTGAGACAAAATTACTTGGGGACATATAATAGAGGTCTACAAAGCTGTGAATAATAGACCAGGATGATTGGGATCAATTTGTCACTGATTTGGGTCATTAAAGGAAGCCAGGTACAAAACAGACAAATGGAAACGGCTCTTACTGCTGTCAGTAGTAAACCCGTGGATTTTCCCAAATGATACTGTGTTCACTAAAAGCTTGCATGGTTTTAGGGGAAAAATGGACCAATATATGGACAAGAGATGCATTAGGGATGTCTAAATACGTAGAAGCACGTCCAGTTCAGGGAGTACTGACATTCTGTCTTCATTTGCATCTGAATGCAGGCACTTCATAAACAAGGACATGCCACTTTATTTGGAGAAGTAGCTAACTATTTGAGTATCACCTTGGAACAGTGTAGAAAATTCGGGGATCAAATCTAATTCCCTTGAGTAGCATTTGAATTACCTGAGCTATTCAGCATTTCCCATTCTCATTCATTGTGGTGACGCTGGTACAAACGAGACAGGATAGCTGTCTCCACAGCCCTGCTCTGTGCAAGCCCGATTTATCCCCCCAAAGCAGTCTCTCCTCTCCGTTAAAGGAACCGAGCGCATCTCAGAAGTGCACTAGATGGGTGGGCAATTAAATTGTAATAAGTAGGACATGTATAGTTGCACAGGCAACTAATGTTTTCTGGCTAGAGTGATAATCTGAATTATTTTTCAGCTAAAATGAAAGTGTTAAAGCCATTCTTTCTAGGACTGTAAACTGGACAGCAGTGCAGACTAAGTGCAGGATTCACTCCCAAAGCACTGGTGTCTTATTAGGATAAACCTTCTCTGGTGAAAGGAGTAGCTCAACAGTCTGTTTTTTCTCAAGTAGTGTGTGCGTACGTGAGGAAAAGAACTACCTCAGATTCTGGTCTGACTTGTCAGCGTTTTAAATTGCTGTTTTCACCTGTATATGCAATTCCCTCTTTCCATTTTAAATGTGAACAGATGTTATCAAATTAAAGCCTGATAAGAATTTTTTAACTGAGCTGCACCTTTTGCTATATAGTGTCTATAGTTATGAATGTTTCATAGCTGTATTTATACCAATTATGAATGTAAATAAAAATAGTTTAGCACTGTATATATGAAATCTCAGCTTTCTAATATCTCTGTCTTTTTAATAGCTTTATTTATCCTTTACTTACCTCATAAACATTACTCCCTATAACATTTTGTAGGCTTCTTTCATTTCCATGTTTGTTCATGTTTTTTAGAATCATAGAATCATTAAGGTTGGAAGAGACCTCTAAGATCATCTACCCGTCTTTTAAATACTTCCAGGGATGGTGACTCAACCACTTCCCTGGGCAGCCTCTTCCAATGTTTAACCACTCTTTCAGTAAAGACATTTTTCCTCATGTCCATGTTTTGTTTTGTTGTGTTGTGGTTTGTTTTTTTTTTTCCTTCTCATGGTTCTCCGTGTCTTAATCTTACGCTTTCCTGTGAACTTCTCTTTTTTTGTTAACTTCCTACTCTGGGAGGATGTGGATTAATTAAATTAATCTGGAGGAGGTAGGGGAAAAAAAAAAAGTAAATTCATTCCCAGCTCTGTTCCAAGGAAGGTAACTTTCTCCCCTCTGCCCCCAGTGTAGGAAGGTATCAACATACAGAAGAAGGACACGCTTAGATGAGGCCAAGCTTCCCTGGGAACTGGATCTAAGTTACTTCTAAATGAATTAGTAACAACCCAGCTCAGAGCGAGGTGTATATTTAGTTTGGTTCTTATAACTGATGCTCAAATTTCTTAACTGGACTTTGAGAAATAAAGTGCTTTCAGAGTGCGTGTATGTGATAGAACTGTATTGTGTTGTAAAGAAATTGGTCCGTCAGAAGGGTTTTAAATATAATACTTATTTCTTACTGAGTTGTTTGTCTTTCACACCATACAACCATTTAAAAAAAGAAAAAAAGAAGAGGGTTAATCCAAATTATTAAAGAACTGAAGATATTCATGTTGATGTTCCTTACTGGGAACAAGTGCCAGCTCTCTGAAGATGCCTGAGGAGCTAGTGGACGCTGTCAAATAGTGCTCTGGCCAGAGAGGTTATTGGACAAGGGAGTGAAAGTAGGACCCTGAGACACTAAATTCCTTTCCATCAAGCTGTTGTTGGCCAAGGCAGGAGGAGGAGGCAGAGAATGAAGTGGTTACTGCAACTTAATTGCGTTGGGGTGCAAATAAAACTAAAAGAAAAAAGAAGAATGGAGAGAAGTGCAGCTAGAACCTCAGCAAGAACTTCCAGAGATTGTAGGCTGCCAAAGTATACGTGTGCAACAGGCACAGTATACTTTATCTTTCTGCAGTCAAAGCACAAGTTGGGGGACCCTGTGAACCACATCATGAACATGCCCATATCCACCTGTCCTTGGAAGTTTTCCTTATTTTCCCCCCTTTAAGGTTGTGGAATTAGTTCTGAGTATAAACAGACCACCTGGGGTCCCTGCCTCCTTTGATGGGAAGGTAAATTGCATGTCATGTCTGGATGAGTGGTTACATCTGGATGATGTAAGAGTGAGGAAATGTAGTGAGTGGAGCATAAGCACACAGAAGTGTTCCTGATGCAGTGTTCAGAGCCAGGTTGCATAAATGCCAGGTTTCTTGCCAAAGAGGGTAGTTTTTGTGAATGAGAGGTCCAAAAGGAGCTCCGGAGGTAGATGGGACCTGTTTGCTCCCAGGACTCTCTTGGTCATTACTTCCTAGCAAGGTGCCATGCGGATCCCCCAGTAAGAAGACCTGAGAAAGGTGCTTGATGGGGACGGCATTCTCCTGCCCACCTGCAGCGTACGTTGGGTTGTTAATCCATTGCCTTTGCTGCTCCCTTCCATTGTCCCCAAGAATGAGAGATGTAAACTACTTGAAAAGATGATGTATAGAACAGCTGACTTGCTCTAAGCCTGTCTTGCACAGAAGACCCCAACAGATAGTTATTTTGGGCAATCATGACTGCAAGTTTATATCGTATCACTTGACTCAATCTTTACTGGTGTGCTTTCCTCTTTCATAACTTCCTTTTAGTTTAGACATTCATGCTTCATCCTTTATTTTTTTTTCCTTCTAATTATTTTCCTTTTACTCTCACCATATTCTACTTTTTTCTTTTTTTTCATCCATACAAGGAAGTTGGCGTTGTTTTGCTTCATCTGTAGCAAAACACAGCTCTGTGCTCTGGACCAGACCAAGAGCAATTCTTTGCTGTTACTGCCTGTTTAGGGTGGGACAAGAAGTTGGATGTGCAGACAGTCTCTTCTTTTCCTTCGCGCACAGCAATTTTCCCATTGCCTTGCAAGAATGAAGAATGAAGTTAATGACTACTACATAAATCTCATGCTACAGATGTTCTTTTCATTGCCACTGGGGAGTGCTGCACTATTTCTGTGCTGCTGCATGTTTTCCTGTGCAATTACGGTGCAGAAGGTTACAGGAGACTGGACTATACTGTGGCCCCCGACAAGAATATCAATTTTGTTAAAATTGGTTGATCAGTTCTGTGTGCTGTGATGTCGGACCTGTCTGAAAGTAACGGAATTTTTTTGGAATTGAATCATGTTTATATATTTAGTGGAGTGAAAGCAGTATGGTGTTAATTGAGGTAATAAACATGCTTTTCTGGTGTGCCACAAGCAGCAGATCCAAAGCAAGTCATGTATATGAATGGTATGGAACTGCAATACATTGAGTAATAAATATTCCATTCAGTCGTCAAACCTTGTAGGAACTTCAACTAAATGAAAAAGGCAATGTGTCTTATATCTACACGCTTGCCACTGTGGGAATTCTGTGGAAATGAGCGTTGAAAACATTTTTTCTTTCATTTTGACAGGTAATATTTGAAGCTGAAGTCTCAGATGGGAGAAATGGCTACATTGCCATTGATGACATCCAGGTTCTGAGTTACCCTTGTGGTAAGTAGTGATTAAGAGCTGCATTTTTCTCTGTCTTTTCAGGACATGTTTGATATTGCTGTAGACTGCTGAGTTTTCATCACTTGATCACTGATGTTCTTTGTTCTTTCAGTAGTATTTTTGTTGCAGCTTCCAGGGGAAAATGTAGTGTTGCAATAGTGATTTACCTGGGTAAAATCTTTGTCTGCCAGAAGTAAAGTATACAGGAATACAAAAGCAGAAATTCTTCGGTGTCTTTTTAGTTATACCACAGTTGGTGTGCATAATCAAAATGGGTTTTAATGTATATACTCACTGATTAAAGGAAACTGAATTGGCACATGCATGTAGGAGGTTTATCAGATTTCATACCCTTGTTCTTTTTCTTTTTTTTTTTTTCAAATGGACGCAACAGATTAAAAAAAAAAAAACAGGCAGCTTCTGGTTATTGAAGTACTGAAGGATTGGGTTTTGTTGTTTTCTTTTTGTGGCCAGACTCCAGGCATTTATGTTTGCCTTTCCCTGCTTAATCCTGGAGAAGAATTACACACATGCAAATACAAGTTGTGATAATGAGAGTATTGTACAAATAAAAAGTTGTGAGGGAGAAATTATTACTGTGCAGTTCTGTTCAGCTCTTCTGATCTTCCCCTAGGCATCCCCTTTCTAAAATGTGATTTCATTGTAATGTACCTCATGGCTGAGAAAATTGCTTTCTGAAATGATCAAGATATAACTACCCCCTCTCCCAAATTTGCAAAATGATGCCAAATAATAAAGTTGCAATGGCAACCTCACATTTTTGTCGTCTTCTACCCCAAACCTGTTAAGACCATAGCTCTTAGGGGCTACCAAGCTTACAGGGTATTTGAGTTACCTCTTTATATTTCAGCCAGCCCAGCTGTCTGATATCTGTACTCAGCAAAGCTCTGCTCCGATTCAGTATCTGGCTTTCATTTTTTTTCTTTTGGTGTTTTGTTTTCCTTTGTGTTTTTTTTTAAGTGCCAAAACTAAAGGCACTTGGGTACAGTCATGATGGCAGATTATCAGCATGATACAGTATTCAGATAAGCTCTTTTTTGTTAGTGATGTTTAAACCTTTTTCCAATTTGCTGTTTTTTCCTGTGTGTTGGTGTTTTTTCGGTAAGCACAAAGAAATAACAGTTCAGCTACTGTTTTCATTAGTAGTTCTTGAGAAAGAGATGGGCGGGAGCTGTGCAACACACTCATTCCTCAAATTTCTCTGTCAGCTTTCTTACATCTAATAAATCCTTCAGGTGGTTGTGCCACTGAGCTTTCCTAGGGGCTTTGTCAGTGTGGGAAATAGATTTGTCAGCTCCTGAAATACCACGTTCAATGGCACAAATGATTTCATTTAGTAAAACAACAGAGCTCTGAGTTACATTACAAATAATCTGAATAGTATCTCTATTTGCTTGAGCAGTATCCTGCTAATTGGGTTCTTCTCAGTCTGATGGGTTCCATACAATTGAAAGTCTTTGGGATAATTTTTGTAAAGTGCTGCTGACATGTTGGCAGGGGAGAAGGGAAAGGACTGACAGCACTCCTTCTCGAACAGAGATGAAACAAATCATTTTCTCTCTTCTGTTTCTGTTTTTTAGCCAAAGGTTGTTACAATATTCATCTTCAGGGAGACAATAATGTTGCTGGCACCTTTTTTAGCAATAAGCGTTATTTGTAATTTTTCTTTTCCCCCTCTGCAGATAAATCTCCACATTTCTTGAGGCTGGGGGATGTAGAGGTCAATGCAGGGCAGAATGCTACATTTCAATGCATTGCTACGGGGAGAGATGCAGTGAATAACAAGTTATGGCTCCAGGTAAGGCCAACTCATGCAAGTCTGTTTGGTTAGAGGACAGGCTGCTTTCTGGAGGTGAAATATTTAAATTCCTAAGCCTTTTTTTTCTTCTGCATGTAAAAAATTCAGTTTAAATACAATTTTATCTTTGTTAAATGGAGAAACTTGTAATCAGTTTTGTAATATTAAAAAGCTTGGATTAAAAATTAGAACAACTGGTGTGGACAGTGGAGGAGGGTTGGTCTTTAAGGCATTGTGGGCCTTCTCCTTGTAAATCACCCTGTCTATCAAATTTTTTTTATCATTAAATGCAGATAATTGGCATTTGGGATCTAGTAAAACACAGATGTAACACAGCTGTCATACATTTTGAGGATCATTTTATCATATAAATTACAACTAATTCTTTGTCCAAGCAGGTGGCTGGAGTGATGTGGCTGTATTCTGTGTGCACATCGGTTTTACTCAGCAGCGTATTTAATGGGACAACATAAAAGGACTGTTGCATGTCCTTTTCCTCTGTCTCCATAATAGGAGGGACTTGAACTTTTATCTGTGTGTAATTGTGAGTGGTATATAATGTTAGAATCTAAGAGATGACTAAAACCAGGAAATAATCCTTCTCACTAAAAAACAAGAAAAAAGAAGAAACGAACACCACAATCCTCCCAAAACAACCGTTTTGCTTTGTGGTGTGGGGATGGGGTTACTTACAGTTAAGACCACTAGTTAAGTAGAAGGATGGCAAAGTTTCACAGTTGCTTCTTAAAAAATTAGATTTTGCCACCTGATAAGGATTAAAAAAATCACTTCAGTTGTATGTGTACCTTTATGTGTATGCTTTAGTTTATACATAAACCTTAAGCACCAACGCTCCTTTAGAATGGTTTCTAAATATGCCCTTTAAAACTTTATTTTTTTAAAATGTGTATTTCTGTATACTTTCAGAACTGTAAAGTATATACTTTTTGGGAAACATTGTACTTTGAAATGAACTATAATCAGAACTTTAAAATATCTATTTTTTGGCAAGCGTTGTACTTTGAAATGAACTATAATTGGTTACTTCAATCTGTTTGATTTTTCTTTTAATAGAGAATGGAGCTGACAAACCTTGAGTAACAGTTACGTACAGGCATGTGATAAACTTAAAATATTAAAGATTTTTTTTTTAATAGATAGAATGCGATTAGAAATCCAATATGCAAAATGTATTACTGGACAAATATGCTGCAGCATTAAAAAAGGAACACAAATCTAGCAGTAACTGCATTGCTTTTAGTGAAAAGGTATCATAGCGGTAGGAATGATTTGTACTCCATGTCTTTGAGTAGTAACTTGTTTAAATTGAGCAAATGTAATGCATTCATTGAGGAGGAGGAGTTTGATTTCAGTGTGCAAATAGAGAACACAAAGCACACAAAATGAAATTGAACTGGGTTTTGCTATATCAAAGGCAGGACTATATCAAGAGGAGCATACCAGCAAATCCGTGAAGCACCACCTTCAGTTGATCATGGGTCAGAAAGGCCCGATGGAGACAACCGGCTGGAAATCTTCCCTATCGCTCACTCCTCAGAGTCAGATAACTCTGATAGATTATCCTTTCTAACTTTCACTCCCCTGAGAAGCCCGGTTAGCAGCCAGAACAACTCAGAAAACATATGTTTTGTACCTCCATATACTTCATGGGTTGTTTGGTTTGGTTTTTTTGTGTGTGGGGATCACAGATGTGGTGATTTCTCACAGTGCGGAAGATAAGGTACCTTTGAGTTTATAACTCTGCTTGCTTGTGCTTATGAAGTGCCTTGATGTTCTTGAAGATAACTTGCTACTAAAATTATATACTTGAACTTCTGTTCCCCTTCTTGTTTTCCGTTAAACAGTGCCAAATTTTCACCAATTTAAAGGTGACCCATTTTTTTCTTCCTCCCTCATCATTCCACCTCTCCATCTTACTTGCCCAACATAAGAGTGAATCTGCAACTTTCCCCTCTGAATTCTCTTCCTTAGATAACACAGCAAGCTACTGCTGTTGTGCACAGCTAATAGTGAATTTACTCCCTTTCCTTAAAACCCGGGGTGGATATGTGTGGGCCTTGTGAGGCTCCGGAGTGTGACTTGGAAAAGGTTCGCTTTAACCTTTGACCAAACCAGAGATTCATAAAGCCCGAATAGCCAGAAAGGAAGAACCGGCAGATCAAATCAAATGCCTAAGTAATTGTTTTTGAGAGCCCTAAGCTGAAACATTCCAGGTATGTATTTTTCTCATAAAAAGAAAGGCCATTAAAAAAAAAAAAAGTGCAAAAATGAAAAATGAAGGGGAGAGGGGGGGAAGAAGACACTTTCCAAGTACACTGTGTTAGAGAAAATAGCTTTTGGTTATGTTCTTATTGAAAGAGAAAAGATATTTCCTTGGAAAAAAAAGGAAAAAGCAGCAAACAATTTGCTATTAAAACACATTCTTTGATAAGGAAAGATCCGAGGTGCAATCTGGGACACTAGGGCTTTTTGTATCTGAAATGATCTAAGATCTCATTTGCTTGCATTGAAGTAATAGAGATGTGAAGGCAAAGATTTCGTTACAGACTCTACCAGTGCTCTCTGGCTGTCCCAGCCCTCTGTTCTGGAGAGGGGCTAAAGTAAATTCAGCAGCAGGAGGAGAAAAAACTAGCAGCCGCCCTGCTCTGTGTTCAGAGTCATGCAGTCCCACGGCTGCTTCAGCCAGGCTCAGTCTGAGCTGCTGCAATCTCGGCTTCGCCCTCCTCATCCCTCTCTGCACTGATGCTGGAGCTTTTGCAGCTTGCCAGTCAGTCAGTTCAGGAAAGTGATCTGGCTGAAAAAGATTTTGGCCCAAATTGGTTTTTTGTTGTTGGGGGTGGGGAGGACTGTTTTGGTTTGGGGTTTTTTGGTTTTTGGGTTTTTTTTTAATTTTTTAGCTTGATTCATGTCTGAATTACCTATATAAATAGTGCCAGCAGGTGGAAAAAGATGGGGGTGTTTGGTTAGAAGCAGGGAAGAGGGAAAGATTTATAACAACCTGAAGTGAAGTAAAAGTGGATCTCAGTAGCATGTCTCATTGTAGTGTCCTATGTAAACTTTAATTTTTTTTTTTTAGTTATTGGGAGAAAGCCCTGATCATATACTAGATGATCTATGTGCATGCACATTTCCATGCTTATGTTTTTCTCAGTGTATATATATAATTAAGTGCACATACCTTTGTGTGTCTGAAAATAAAAATGGATAAAAATAGGCACAGCATTTCAATACTTTCCTGTGTGTTTACTGCTGTAATGACAGTCTTTTCATCAACTCCCATTTTCTATAAATGTACGTCTGTAAGCATTTCAGACAAATAGGAATTAACATTGAATTGAACTTCTCCTGATTTTCATGGCTGCAGATTCTGCTCGTTTGTTTGTTTTTAGATTGTATCTGGTCTCTTTTCCCCTTTCATACCCCTTCCCTCCCACCCCTGCGTTTTGCAGCCCCACTGGACCAAGGTCTGGGACAGTCAGAGCTCTGGCACTGAAAGATAAGCAGTAAAGATAATAGAAGTCTTTAAAAGTTGCAGCTGCATTAATACGAAACAAATATTTGCACAGATAAAGAGATTTAACTGGTTGAACAAGATGATCTGAAACATACCTTTTGTGACGGTGTGAATAGTGGGTGTGGGAGCGGGACAGAAATGCAGCTCAAATTTTTTTGTTCTTCACCTTTTGAAGCTAATCTGCTATCAGATTTATTACAGTTGTGAGCCGAAGGATTCTCTTTATGACCTGCAATTATTCGTAAATTCTGAAAGAGTTTCAAAGTCCTTAGTTTTTGTTTAAAGTGAGCATTGAAGTTGTTTCTGAAATACATTTCAGTCTTGGTGTGTATTATCTTTTTTGCCTGTCATCCCCTTCTGTATGTAATGCTGTGGGTTTTTTTCTCAGTATTTTAAAAATCCTCTTAAAATTTCCACTGTAATGTGTCACGCACCAGCAGCTGTAGTGTGGTGCCACTGTACATGCTGAGGCAGTTGGGTTGTGTGATAGGAGTCCCAAACCCAAGGCAGTAACCTCGCTTTTCCACCTGTTATGCTTTAGTATGCTCTGTCTTATAAGCTTCAGGAGTTAGCAGAAGTTCTTGCTGAAAAATCCTTTCTTGTAGGAGGTGAGCGTGTGTGTGTGTTTAATCTTAAAAGATTGAATGTGGCATGTATAGACATCATAACTGATCAGTTGTTGCCCACTTCTGCCAATTCTCTTTTTTTCTAAAGCCTATGAATTGTCTTTCTTTGAAAAGACACTTAAAGAATAAGGATTCTTTCATTTATTAACGTTTGATGCACTTTGCTGCTTTGTTCACATTGATTTGCTGAATTAGTACATATAGGGCCACCTTTTTATTCTGTTTTTCCCCACCCCTGTGAAATGCCATGCATTCCAGTGGAGTTATGTCAATAAATAACCCTGCAAACAAGAGTCACTTCTGCATGTTAATCCTGTGCTCAGGAGGGATATGTGTTAAGTATTAAATATTTGAAAGAATAGCGCACACAGGGCACTACATGAAAATGCAGGGGTGGGGTGGGGTGTGATGGGGGGGGGCTGTTCGCCCATTTGATTTGGGAGATTTCTGTGTGGAGAAAGCTCCCAACGTTTTAAGCTTCTTTTCTTTACTAAGACAGTGGAGAAATAGAATCGGCTGACTAGAATAAATAACGTTTGGGTACACAAAGACTCCGGAAAGCAGTGTACGTATTGTCCAGCATTTGTTCTGTGGATCTAATTGGGATATCAGAGCAATAGGGTTTTTTGCATAATCGGGCTGCGTTTAACAGCTTCCTGAGCTGGGAACAATTGTGGCTCCCAGAAGCCCAATATGGTTTTCAGTGTCTTATCGATGTCCGGTTTAACTGGACACTCGCACGGTGCGTAGAATAGAGCTTTTTGCTAGAACATCTGTTAAACCATATGTCTTGGCACCTGGTTCAGATGGCGATAACTGCGGGACTAATGAGTCCATCC